AACAATCTCCTGTTCATCAGAAAGCATGTTTCAGCAGTTGATACTTCTCATATGGCACCATATAAACACCAAAACATGGTTTCTGATTCCTTAGCTAATCAGAAGGAAAGGAAGTTGTGCAGTACGCCGCAAAACCTGGTCTTGGAAGAGTTATGCGCTACCTACTATACCCTGAGTAAAGATTGCGCTAAATGGGATATTTGATTTCATGCTAAGAATCACTTCGAACAACCGATTCAGGATAAATTCTAGAAAGATACTATTTTGGGCTTTTAACATGACTTAGGCAGCTTCAACATTATCATTGTCCACTATTATACACTGTTAGGTGAAGGCCTCTCCAACAACTGGCCGTAACATTCTGTTTTCATCCATTTTAATCCAGCAAACCACTCCAGTTCATCCTGCCATCGATCTGAAGGCTTTTGTACGCACCGTTTAGTTTGCTTACATACCCCCATCAGCAACTAGGAGCAAGGTGACGGTGCACTAAGCTCTACTGAAGGAGTTATGAGTAATATAACATACTGTGACGTATGAATATATGACCGCGAAAAAATGATGCGACATAAATCTGGAACTGCAGGTGCTCAAATACCATGGAACTGTGGTTTGCTTTATATGGTCTCCTATTAAACTAGGAATAAGGGGGAGGTGCAATACGCAACAGAATCTGCTAATGGATGAGTTAAGTGCTCTTTAAAGGCTTTACAGCCACTCATAATCTGAGTCTGAGTAGCGAAAATCTTTAAGTTTTTCGCTGCAATATTTTCCATGTTACAATACGTTTCATCCGCGACCCGAAAGGAGAAGCGGCGATGGAAGATGAAGAAGACAATACGTTTCACTCTTCAAACGACAAACGATATCGAGAAGTTAGTCGCTACAAATTATCGAACTCGCAGGTCTCACTTCGCAAAAGGCCAATCGCCGTCAAGAATTATTTCGATGGCTTTCTGCTCTGAGGCCCCGAAAGAAAGCACCACCGGCCTTCGGTATTTCTTCACCCAAAGACTCCCATGTCGACGGGACAAGCATCGGTTAACCACTCTCATGTAGAATGAATGAACCTGGAAGCAATGTCAAAATTACAATGGCAACGGCAACAATTTGAAATTTACCATTTTCAAAGGAAGGCACCGTTGGGATCTTCACATTGTTGGTGAATGCCACTCTGAATGAAAAGTCAAAATATCTGTAGAGCAGAAGCATCCACAACCCGAGATAAAAAAACTATACTTGGCTGAATAGGATATCTCATATCTATCTGCCTGCTCATAAAAAGAGAGGAAAAGAGTTGACACAAAAAACAGAATCCTGAAGAACTGTCATTCAAAGCGTTTCCACAAAATAATTCTGAAAGAATTCGGAAGAAAAAAAATCTGGTGTCACCATAGGGCTAACATGCAACAAGACGAACAAAGAAGAAAATACCGATCCGATTTTATCACAACTTCCATTTCATTCCTTAAACCAAAATTTGAGAAAATTTAATAGTTGAGGACTCGCGTGGAATTAACCTAATTTATAACTCTTAATAAGTTAAAAAGGCAAATGGAAGTTTCGTTTAATAGTCTGAAATAATGGTATAGACCAATGAAAAGAACAACATTCGTTGGAGAGCCAGAACATTCAAGTATACAGAAGACGTAGATACGAAAGAAATGACATATCGACAGTGGACAGAGGAACAGGAGAAGCGACAAAAGTCTAGAAGCGTTATCAACAACTTACGTATGACTGCTAACCAACAATCTGTTTGAATGACCCATCGAAGGACTCAAAAGTCTGCAAGGAAATGAAGATGGTTAATATTCTTTAACTACTCTTTCTATGGTCTATTTCGCATCTCATCGTCAGATTTAAAAAAACGTCCAGGATCATCCGGTCTACATGTAATGCAAAAGGAGATTAATCATCATTATCATAATCATTACTGTCATCAACAATCTTGTCATCATCTTCGACATGTCATTTATCACAGCCTTTCTCATTTCCCTATCATCGATAGGTTGTCGTCATTATCACCGTGGTCATTAACACATTCTTGTCATCAGTACCACCATTGTTAAGGTAATCTTCATGATCTTGCTCATTACATTCATCTTTCTCTTGTAGCTCATCCTTCTAAGTTGCAACTCTCTGTTGGTAATGAAGAACATAGCTTCGTTCAGTCTTATGATTATTTGCCATTTCCAACTTAAGCCAATTAGCCATTTCCTGGATTTAATTTCATTAACTCTAATTTTACAGTCCGTACACAGTTTCTACAAAATTAGCAAAATTGGTCTACTAGAATTTGGAAGTAACGGGTCATAAAAATACTACAAACGCCTATGCATAGCACAAAATAGAATTCATGCGCAGACTATTCCTTCTCGCACTTATACAGCAAATTTGTTAATGCCGTTAAACAATGATTACTTTTACATGCAAAGATAGCTTTAAAAACAATTCTTTCTTTATTCGGGTTAGCAGTTCTTTACTGCGATAGATCTCAAAGGACTTACTACACACAGCCATGCTAAATACAAGTCTTCAGAAGTTTAGGATCACCCCTCAAGGCTACAGGAATCACAATTTATAGGACAGGTATAACTACCATGCAAACTATACCTTCTGAATACATCAGTAATCAGGAATGCTCTTAAGCAATCAACCCAATTTGGGAAACTTTATGACCTACGACATTAAACAGGTTTCTTCTCCGCAGAGAAACATGATACGCAAATTCAGAGGAAATTATGTCGAATTTTTCGATATCATCTACTAAGCACCCCTCAATCAAATCTTGTCTTTCGCTCGTCTTCCCACACGCCACGATTTTCCAATCAGAGCATACCCGGCAGTGTAGATATTTTCACTAGGCTATCAGAGATTAATAGACATAACCATGTTTAAACCCTTCGCCAAGATTGGCAGTTGATATTCACCTGAGACGGAACCATTTAAAGTAGAAGCAACGATCAATCGAAACACCAGTCGTGTTAGTCAACTGTTTCAAAGCTTATGACAAGTCCTTGCCCAACTTTACCTTAGCTTGCTATTCCGAATTATGGACGTTCTCTACAAGAACGTGCTACTCACAACCTTACAGGTGGCCCATTATAAACAAGCGCAATCTACGTAAATAGCATAGAAAATTAACTGTCGCAATTCTTTGTCCAATTCAGCAGTTGCATTCTAATCGTAATAAATGCAGATTTAACTTCCAGTTTTCAGCCAATTTACTTGTGCCACACTGCCTGAGGGAAAATCGACATAACCAATACCCTAAGAACGTTCAGAATTTACATCAAATCGACCAGTGGCAACAAAATACACACCTTTCTTTGGTTAAAATTACATTGTATCCTCCCGTCAACAATTAAATCACATTCATAGAAAAGTTCTTAAAAAGGTATACAAAACATCTAAGGGATAAATTAAGTACAGGCAGCTCAAATTATGGGTAAATTTTTCAATTTTGGAAAGTCACAGCATCCTTTTCAACGCAAAATACTACTGCGTGTTCAAATGGAATGTTTCCATTTCCGAAAATGCCACGACTCATATTTTGCCAAGGCATTGAGTTGTTTTTTCATTTGCATGAAAAGAAACATCCAACATTGACGTTTTTAAAGTGCTAAGAATTCAGTAACCGCTACGATCATAATGAATTGCAGGATCCTACACTTTAAAACACAAGTGACAATTACCACATAAGCGCAAAAGGTACAGAAGAACAAGAATAAATTCAAATAATTGAAAAATAAGAAATCATGGTCAGCTTGCCATGCGTGATTTGAGCCTCAAGAACAAGTTTACTAAAATAATAAACAGAGAACTCGCAAAACGGTCAACAAGGAAAGAAAGCAACGGCTATTCGAAAGAATATCGATTAACAGCAACTAGAGAAGCGCAGGGTAAAACGTACAAAACAACGCAAAACCAACGTAGCGAAAAAGTTGCCGTAAATCAAAGTAGCACAATAACAGACGCTGTGTGTAATACGTCTAATTCAAAAAAACCGTCATAAGGTAAGAGGAATCACCGAATCACTCAATTTAGAGCTAGAATATTTCGCTGAATCATCGGACGACGAGGCACTGCACCAGGATGGGCTCTTGGCCACCCGCTCAACGATCCTCATGAACCGCGACGTACGTCGGTTGAAGCGCGGACGCTCTAGGAGCCACACCAGCAACCCATCGATGATATACGCTTCAGCAGCATAAGCGAGCAGCCAGTGAATGCCGGCCAGCATGACAATGACCAGACGGTACTTTATGAATGGGGGCATCTTTAGCTCGAGCAGCTTGATCATGAAGGCAAGTGGTGAGAGCGTGATCCACAAGCAAAGTACCACACAGAAGGCGATCACAGCGAAAAACCAATGATTGTTGAAGATCGTTTTGCGGTATGGGTGCGATTTCGAGTAGACGACGGCGATAATTATGTACTGAAATGTGGATGTGAGAAAGACGGCCGTTATTTGGTACGAATCAAAATCCCGTTCATTTTTGCGAAATAGGGACGGGACATGAAACCACGGCTGCTGAACGATGAAAAGGAAAGCGAAAACCTGAAAAAAACACTGCCATACAAAAAATAATGGCTAAACGGAAGTAAGTATTTAACACGTAGTGAATCACATAAAATGTTATAATACTTAAAGAAATGGCAGATTTTTCATTTTACAAATTTGGTTTGAACAACGTGCACTGGCGACATGTTCTGAGGGTTTGTAGCACAATTACCACTCTTATCCTGAGGAAAGTAACGAACGACGAAAACTTTTCTTCATTTCCTGTCGCAATACAGCTAACATGAGTCAACTTGATAATGCGTTAGAAGCTTTTAAACAACTTAATAACAGTATGACATATACCTACCAGCATTTCTAATTCTGTTTATTTAGACTACGATGACGGACAACGTCATATCTAAAATTCTATTCAAAGATGGAATTAGCAAATAAGCATATTATCTGCCATTCGATTCTCTCAGCAATCTACAGAAATCGTTTTAAAGGAATAGCGTGAGAGAAGTTTAATTTTTTACTTCTGAAAGTTGGTCTCATTATTCTCGTTTTGAACCTATAGAGAATCCCTCATAATTACATACCAACTGATTTATGAAAATACATACGAAAAACTGGTTGAACATACTCCGTCATACAAACATTTTCTAGTTTATTATATGGCAGCACATAAGAAGCACCAGCTCCTGAAACACTGTTCGTCATGAATAAAACGAACATGTAACAAGCATTTGGTAGCAAAAGTTTTATATCACGGAGACACTTAAATGGCCCCAAATGCAACTATGAGCAATAAGGCAGAGCAATACGAAGTAAAATCTGGTACTGAAGCAGAAATGCATAATTTACATATTTAAAAATGCAGAAAATTATTCAAAAAAGGTAAAGTATTAATGTTATATGATAATTTCTTGATACAAAATTAACAGATTCAAACATTTAAATAAACATAAAAAATTAAATCAGCAAAATTAAAAAATATACTTAATAAAAATAAAATTATAACTCCCCAGTAGTCGAAACAAAACCCGGATGTTTCGGGACCCAGCAAAGGACTCTCG